AACCTACTACTACCTGAGTTAATGGTGCAGTTTACATCAGTAGTTTCCTAGATATACTGATGTGCAATAATGAAGTGCGGGTACGCACTCAATGTAAACTAATCAGCTGAAAAAAATGTAAACATCAGTCTGTAGTCTGTAAAATAACGCCAAATCAGACATGGATAAAATCTCAACAAATAAGAAAAGAGTATTCTATTCTACTGTATGATTCTGAATCRATCCAAATGTTTGAAAAGCCTGAGTTGTGATCCTGCAATCGTTCTGGAGCTTCTTCATCATWAACAGAAAATATTCACTCTGAGTTTCAGGTTTTATTTAATAACATGATGTAAAACCATGTTTGAGATTTCCTGCTGTGATAAACAGATGGAAATGGGTTTTATGTTACAAAAACTCTAAATATGTACAGTTTGACAATCACAGCAAAGCGTTCCGGAAGTGTTCAGATCCTCAGGTTGGAGAAACCGGAAGTGTTTCGGTCTCAGAAGCCTTTGCTGATCAGCCAGGCCTTCAGCTCCTGATCGAAGTGACCTTTGACCTTCAGGGTATTGGTGACCTCGTTGACCTGTGTGGGCAGCTCCTTGCCCGTCACCTCCTTCAGGTACTCCCTCACGTCCTTATCCAGAGCCCAGATGTCCCCCTCCACCTTGCGCACCATCGTTATCTTGCGGTTGCCGTGGGTCAGGTCGGTGTACACCGGCACGTTGTGCATGCGGGAGCGGCGGATCATGTACGGGAGAGGCGGCGGAGTCTCAGCCGGGGGGGTCCAGCCGGAAGGGGCGGCTCCGACGTGTTTCGGCGGGTCGGGAACTTGCGTGGGAGGGATGAGCCTCTCCACGAACTTGTACTCCTCCGTGGACTCTATCAGCTCCGTCTTTCCTTCCCGTGGAGCGTTGGAGGAGAACCTGAGTCCGGCGGCGGCAGCTGGGCCGGTCCGCGTCCGGTTCTGGAGGCTAAAWGATCCTCTTAGTGCCCGACGGAGCACCGCTGACTGAAGGCTCAAGTAGCCGGACATTTTCGGCGTGGAGAGATGAGCGACTGAACCGGAAGCGATGCACAACTTCCTGTAGTGCGTATGACGTCACTGCGTGGTACGTGCAATCTGATCTAAAAAAAAAAAGCGGCACACTTGCCTGTGATTTAGAAATTTTATTTAGTTTGAACCAGAGCCCTAACCAAGAAAACAAATTTAAAATGTTCTCTTTTCACCGGAAGTGTAAATCTGCTGAATTTATTATATTTTGGAGGTATGTATGTTTCTTTATGGTAATGTATTGAAGATTCCACATTGAAGATATGTTGTTGAGATTGTTGTTATAATAAAGTTTTTTTAAACTAATAAAGTTTAAAAAAAATAATATATAGTATAATATTGGTTTAAATCACAGACAAAACCAATCTAGATGCAGTCTATAAATAATGTGAACATGTATCATAACATGAAAATCTAAGTGAGCGAGTTGTAAATGACGATGCTCGTTAACTAGGATTTATTACAAACTTATTTAAAAAGTTTTTCCAATGTTTTTAAATTGAGTCTGTTATGCTTTTACATACATACATACATACATACATACATACATACATACA